GCAATATTTATAAAAAAGAAGGTCAACAAATATTCACCGAATACAATAAACCCAAACACACTCATGCAGAGACTAAGAAACGTTCAGAAAAAAGAGACGTCAGATAGAAGAAAATAGAAAAGCGGCACGCGCGAAAGTAGCATTTAATTGGTCAGCGACACACAGATACAAATCGGCCTGAGCATATAGACATAACATAGACGAAGGAGTCTCATGATTACATAGTGGCAAGAAAAAACGATTAACCCGGAACAGATTTGAAGATGACTTATCATCAACCTGACTCTTTCTGCATACGGGAGGGGAGTAGTCACAGCCTTAACTGCCGAAGGGTATAAATACCACGGGGGGGGGTAAAGTGTGCTGTCTGCACACCCTGAACCAGCATGGCCACAATCTCGTCAAAACATACCTTGGTGGATAAATAACCGAGGGCCATATCAGATCAATATGCGACACCGTGTTCATACTTACTTGGGGGAAATCACTCCGCACTGATCTCATACCAACCGCTGGACGAGGAAAGGTCATAAGAATGACACTGAACTGGCATCAGCTTTGATGCGAATCCCAAGCTTGAACTAGCTTCATACTAATCTTTGAACCCAATGACAAAATGGCTTGCTGTGGTGTAACGCGTAACTTCTAATAAAATCACAATTCCAAATGTCACGCGACTCATTAACGAGTCGATGCAAACATTTTTTTAAATTAACAACTGTCAATGAACCGCGCGCAAAGCTATACAAGCTGTATTTAAAAAAAAGCAGTCATACACACAATCATAGCAGCTTGAATGCACGCAGTTGTTCCAGTTTGCAGTGCAGTGATCACACACACATTACTATTATCATGAGTGTAAAATATTTCTAAATAATCTATATAAATTCAAATAAAGGTAACTATATATAAATGCTATTATTATCACTCCTAGCTATTAGCATGGAGGCATCGGATCCTCTCTGCTCCGTCACAATTTCTTCTCAACTTCGCGCCCTCGATGTTGTAATAACCGACTAAGCGTGCCCATCTTTATGCGATTTGGAATCTCCATAGGATCCTATTTCCACGTTTAGCACGCGTCCTACTTTCTTAGATCAGCGACGTCATTTTCCTTAATTTTTATTATTTGTGTTACTCATTAAAAGCGAGATTATTTAATGCAATTGCATGTATGATGTTCTATTAGTCTCGATACGTTATGGCACATACAACTACTTATTTATCATAAAGCATCTGCTAGACTACAGTACGTGGCACCGTCACCACACGATGGGCTGACGAATGCTCATTAGGCGAATTTAACGTGCGCAACCCTGCGCTATGCGCATTATACAGTTTTTATACTTAGTAATATTTATAACTTGAATATTGTACTTCAAACGCTAACGTTATATCATTCTAGGATAGCAATCGAACAGTAGCTCCCCAAATTACTCCTCGCGCATGGCGTATAATTATGTCGATAACATATTCCTAGCAAGCTCTGGTCGCCCACGTAATTAAGGTACTGTGAGTTTATTATAGGACGCTATAATCCGCCATGTTTCTAATGCGCCACGCAAGCGTAGCAAAACACACGCTGTAGACGGCGCCGCATAATATCTTCTATATTATTATAGAAGTTGTTCAGCCAAATTAGTTTGTCCTTCGCCTAACAGAGACAACTCCGTCAGGCCTAAAGAAAACTAAAGATATTTTCAAAATCAGCACGGTTCTGCGCTAAACAAAATTTTTAAAAAGGTTTAAAAAGTAAAAAAGTAATAAAAATTGTTTATTCATCAAATAGATGGGGGTGGCGTACAGATAAACATCTACGTAGCGAATCTATGGTGATATACGCTAACGGCGCAAGTGGCGCTAAGCGCTAGAACATCGTCTCCTTACACCGGCATCCGTGGTTCGCACGTCCGCAGCAGGCGGAAACTATATTTTTCCTTTTTGTTCCTTTTTTTCCCTTTTCGCTTTTTTCGCGCTTTACCTACCTCTTTAGTATGTATTATTTTTAATTTAATTCATTTTTACATTTTATTACAATTTATTTGTTTATATTTTAAAAATTATTTATTATTTTTTATTTTAATGTCCTTTATCTTTAGATTTCTTATTATTTTTACTGTTGGGATGGGATGCGGTGGGATGGCATCGAACGCGATTAGATGGGATGGGATGGAATGGAATGGGAAATGGCGATGGGATGGGATGGGATAGGGATGGCATGAATGGGATGGATGAATGAATGCCAATGATAGTATAGATAGTTAGATTCTACATGTCTTTTATCTTTTGATTCTTATAGTTTTTACTGTTTGAGATCGAGGATGGGCATGGAAATGGCATGCGATGCAATGGCATGGGATGGGATGGGATGGCGGGTGGCGATGGATGGGATGGCATGGAATGCGATGGATGGATGGAGTGCATGGATGGATGCATGGATAGATAGATCGTTAGATTTTTTGGTATTTTCCTTTTTCAACCAAGCGCTCAACCAACTGAGTACGCCAACTGAATTCACCGGCAAACGCCGGGAGTATCCCGCTAGTCTATCCTTAACTATAAGAGGCTAGACTTGTGTCATGTGCGTGTGGTTTTTTTCATTGCTTTTTCTCCGTGATTTTTCATTCTAGATATGGTCGCAAGGATGGCCGATTCTAGATGTAACTTTGGCACGCTGATGTATGAACACTTGGTACCTAATAGGATTACTGGATTCACGGGCACCTCCGAGTGGTCATCATAAAACTCCTCCGACGACCGGAAAGCAAACATGTGGGAACATGATCACTGACGCGACCCCATGCAACGACTCAGCAGAGACCAGGAAACAGGAGCATTCAAGCCCACTACCTGAGACAAAAGCAGCGACCCAATGACAGAATGTACAAATAAGCATTAGCATGGAGCACATAGAGCAACAACTAGCAAAAACTCGACCCTCGCTGCTTCCATGGCAGAACGGCGTCGAGCCGGCCTGGGACCTTTATCACCGGCAAGCAAATTGCAGTTAACTAACCAACGAGCATGTTACAAAATAGGCACTAGAGGCTCCACTAAGAACACGCTTTATCGAGCGAGCGTCCTCTGTCCAATTGCAAAAAAGCATTGTCAAGCACAAATGACAACAACTAACAAATACTGAGCGCGACGACCACCGTTACATGAGATCGACCAATACAGAGTATTTTTTGTTTCTATATCCATACTTTCTCTATCTCAGTTGCATGAATATGTAAAACTTCACCCTAGCTGTGTTTCACACTATTACGTTTTAGTTAAGTTAATTATACATGTATCTTTAAGGGCAAGAGAAACTATTCATAATTATGGTGAGTATGTACGGCTATTAATTTATATTACTGCTAAGTTATTAGATACTTATATTAATATTTAGCTAATCACAGCGTACCAGCAATTTAAGATGATTTATGATACTACGCCACTTAACTAGTAAGTACTCCGGCAGCATCACTCAGAAGAGAAATACACTAAAGGATTAATTATAACAGAAATCTTAGACATCGTCCTGGAGGTCTGGATTGTGCAGTTGAATTCAATATGATTAAAAAAGTTAAAAAGCTTAAAAGCGATGTCTTATACCAAGATATCATATATGAGGAGCAATCATGGCTAGTCCAAAGTGACGTACACACAACATCACGTACGTCTGAATCCATGGGTGTGATAAACGGTGCATCGGCGAGGCAGCTGGGTGCCTCTCCATCCTAGATTACACAGATCAACATCGTAGATTAGAAAGTTCGAGTCCAGCTGGGCAACACGTATATAATTTCCGTTTTTTTTGCCCTTTTTTCCCTTTACCCTACTATAGTATAATAAATCATTTTAATATTTTTACTTTTATAACTTATTCCTATTTATTTTTTATATTTAATTGTTTTTATCTTCATCTTTGATTTCTTATTACTAGTTAGTATTAGCTGTTTTGGATGGGTTATGGGAATACGGCATGGGAATGGCAATGGCAATGGGGTAGCGGTCTAATGGCATGGGAGGGTGTCAGGCAGAGACTACGCCAAATCACAGCTGCTGGGGATATTCTTCCCAGCCGCGATGCACATCATTGCTAAAACTTTAAAAACCGCGGTCAAGAATAAGCACAGGATCATTCACACGATCGCGATGAGCATCATTGCTAAAACCCTGAACCGCGGTTTAGGAATAGCACATCGCTGTGGACACGCTTGTGGTTCTAACTGCGTATTTCAATGAGGCTGTGAGCCTGAATCGAACCCACTCAGCCCCTTCGTCAGGTGACGCGCCGGCTTGAGATATCAACTTCGATATACAACAATTCTTACTTCAAACCAGCGAGGCTCCAGTTTCCCGCGCCCGATAGCCACAACACTATGGCAGGAGATCACGCCAAACGACCGCATCAATAACTACTCCATTATACCCCCCCCCCACCATATGACCAACACACGCGCAGATGGACTATAAAAACTCCGACACGCGCGGCCGGGACGCCAGAGTAGAGTTAATAATTAGTTTAGTTTTGGTCAGAATAACCCTCACGTCGCCCAGCACATAGTGAAGAAGTAGAAGAATTTATATGTGTGTAAAGTATTACCTAATCTGTATTTAGTGACTCGCTGAGTAGAATAAACCATCTAGTCGCTCGTTACAAACAAATACGTGTTATCTATTCTAGCTGTGAAGTTAATTCGCCTTACTCGGCCTTACGCGCACAATAGACCAAGTCTGACATTTCCTTCAGCGGAAACGCAAGCACGAACAGAAAGCAACGGGTGGAGAAGAAATACACAACGCAAGGGTTTAGAACCATACAGCTGACTACACGCATTACGACACGAGAATCACTCATTAATTTCACTATGCATGGCTATATGCATGCGCCATGGCATATCGATGGCATTGGATATGGCATAGATGCGATTTTTAGATCGCGATGGGATGGGATGCCGGTGCGATGGGATGGGATTTGCATGGAATGCGATGGATGATGGATGCATGGA